CCCTCCCCCAGGAGCGACCACGGTTCGAGTCCTGGACCTGCTGGCTTGCTTTCTCACTATCACACTCTCTCTGTCTTTATTTCTCTCAGGTCAAACCAAGACTACTACTACTACTACTACTAATATATGCAGGGGCCAGCAAGTGGCGTGGTGGTTAAGGGCACTGGACTTCTACATGGCAGACTACAGTTCCAGTCCCAGACCTGGCAGCTTGCTTTCCCACTTTCTCTCTCTCTTGCTCTGTCCCTCTTTGGTCAAACGAAAATAAATAAATAAATAAAAATTTAAAAAAGAAAGCATTGGTGTTGAGCTAGTGGCAAGGAGGTTAAGGCAGCTGGATCTCACATGGCTGACTGCCAGGTTCGAGTCCCAGACCTGAAGGCCTAGAGGACATGCCAAATGCGTGTGCGTGCCCAAGATCCTGAGAGGAGAATGACGGAGAAGCATTGTCGTGTGGCCAGCCCCCTGGAGGGTGCTTTCACTTTCTCTTCCTCTCTCTCTGTCTCGGGCAAGTACACACACCCTATAGCAAAAACAAAACAAAGCAAAAAGAAAACATTTGTTCCATTTTTTTTTCCTCAAAAATTTAAATAAAGAATTACCAGGTGGTGGGGAACCAGCAGTTAGCGTAATGGCTATGTCGCTGGACTCCCACGTAGTCGACCGCGGTTCGCGTCCTGGACCCGCTGGCTTAAAACTCACGCCGGGCGCATGTGCGTGCATGCCCAAGATCCCGAGAGGAGAATGGAGGAGAAGGGATTGCAGCGTGACCATCCCCCCTGGGGGGTGATTTCTCGCTTTCTGTCTCTATGTCTCTCTCTGTCTGTCTGGCAAGCGCACGTGCCCTATAGCAAAAATCTCTCCAAAAAAAAAAAAAAAGAATTACCAGGTGGTGAGGTGATTAAGGCTCTGGACACTCCCACATGACTGACCATGGTTTGAGTCCCAGACCTGGTGGCTTGCTTTCTCACTTTCTCTCTCTCTCTCTCTCTCTCTGGTTGAATTAAAATAAATGAATGAACAAGAAAGTTAAAACAATTTTTTTTAAATATAAAGAATTACTATCTGACCCAGAAATTCCTCTTCTAGACAGATCTCAAAAGAACTGAACAAGGGACCGGCAGATAGCATAATGGCTACATCACTGGACTCCCATGTGGTTGACCATGGTTCGAGTCCCAGACCCGGTGGCTTAAACTCACGCTGGGTGCGCCTGTGCATGCATGCCCAAGATCCTGAGAGGAGAATGGAGGAGAAGGGATTGCAGCATGGCCATCCCCCTGGGGGGTGACTTCTTGCTTTCTGTCTCTCTGTCTCTGTCTCTTTGGCGAGCGCACATGCCCTGTAGCAAAAACCTCTTCAAAGAAAAAAAAAAAAAGCATTGAACAAGGATCCTAATGAGTGCGCACACACTCATGTTTGCAGCAGAAAAGGTGGGGCAGCCCACGCGGCTGTCCACAGATGAAAGACACGGAATGAGGCCGATCCATACGGAAGAATGTTGGTCAGCCTTGAAGAAAATGAGTGAGTGAGTGAAAGTTTTAAGCCGCCGTGTCCAGGATTCAAGCTGCAGTTGACTACGTAGGAGACCAGCGACATAACATTTCACTATCTGCTGGCCCCAATCACTTAACATCTTAGAATGCACAGGCATCCCCCCATAAGAGAGTTGCCCAGGGGACCAGCAGGTGGCACGGTGGTTAAGGAGCTGGACACTCCCACATGGTTGACCATGGGTCGAGTCCTGGGCCTGGTGGCTTGCTTTCTTGCCCTCTCTCTGTGTCCCTCTCTGGGCCAATTAAAAATAAATGAGTGAATAAATAAAAATTAAATAAATCTTAAAAAGAAAGTAGAGTTGCCAGACCTCAAAGGCAATGGTGTTCAGGCTGAGCGCTCCGCCTCCACGCCGAGCGGCGGCCAGGCTCGGACCACACAGGTGCCCACAGGTGTGTTCTCATCTGCGTCTCCTTCAGAACTTCAAGAGTGCCTCCAATTTTTTGAGAGGTGTATTTTTGTTTTATTTTTTTTGCCAGAGGGCATGTGCGCTCACCCAGGACAGAGAAGAGATGAAAAAGAACCTCCCAGGGGGTACGGTCACACTGCAATCCCTTCTCCCCGTCTCGCACTCCTTTCAGGACTTCGGCACTCACACACACACCTGGCACGTTTCTTAAGCCACCGGGTCCAGGACTCGAACTACGCAGTTGGCCATGTGAGATCCAGCTGCTTTCACTGACATATCGCCAATGGCCCATTCAAAAAAAAAACATTTTAATGTGAAATCTTTGACTTTCAAGCTATATTGACAGCCAGAGTCAGTCACTTTCTGGAGCACCCCTTTGGAGACACCTATGGAGAGTGTCCCGATGTTGCCCGTGAGGCCCAGGTCCGAGGACGGTCCTGGGGCCACAGGTGCCCCGTGTCAGGGCTGACTGTGAGGCCGCTTTTCTTTTTTTGCTCCCTTCGTGAAAGGAAGCAATCTTGATTTGTAAAAATGGAAAGAAAACCTGCCCCCTTCCTCCCATTTCCCTGGTCACGAATAGAGCCGATTTGCATGAGTTTGCTGACAGGGAGAGTACAGCGCCTGTGCAGGGGCCGCTGTGCAGAGGTGTTAACTTCCCTCTTCCTCAATTTGAGCTTGCCAGGAGGCACAGAGAGAGGGAAGGGGGAAGTTTTCCCCCCCCCCCCCCCCGCCTCTTGGGATTTCGGGCACGTCGCACACGCACCCGGGGTATTTTTCGCGCCGCTGGGTGTGGGACTCGAACTGCACAGCCAGCCATTTGGGATCCAGCTGCCTTAAACGCCATGCGACCTGCTAGCCCCGTGTTCATCCTCCTAACATCTGTGCCCCAGACCCTCCTGGGCATAAGACTGGAGGGCTTTGTTTCTGTCACTTGCCACTTCCTCAGACCTCGCACTGCCCAGCAGGCTCCCCTTAGCCCCGGGGCTAGCTGAGTGAAAGAGTGAGTGGCTCACAGTGTCTCAGGAGTGCAGCCAGGACACTGAGCAGATGTCAGGTGACACAGAGGGGGCAGCCGCCCCAGCCTGGGCACTTCCCCTGCCGCCTGCTGTTTTTAGAGCCACACCAACGAGATATTTGTCTTTAAAGTGAACGAGGAAATGATAGTTCAGCTTGGGCCGCATTCAAGCCAGACCTGCATCATGTGACCTGGCACCACCCTTAGAGAAAGCACAGGGGCTGCCCCTGGGACCTGGGGGAGGGAAGGGATTGGCAGGACTAGACGGGAGGTGACTGACCACTTTCACCTCCCAGGCCCAAGGGCCAGAGATGGGGTTGCGGGGAGCGCAGGGCAGGGAGGCGTATGGGGTGAGCATAGTCTGTGCCTGCACCCCACCTTCCCTAGCACCCTACTGTGAGGCAGCTCCCATATGCTGAGTGCCTCCGGAGGGGCAGCCTCTACTTCCCCATCCTCTCTGCCTCCTCCTGGCCAGAGGAGCCCCAATCTCCCAGCCTTCTCTGGAGTCACAACCACTGCCAGAGCTCTGGGGTCCCTGGAGGGGCATCTACTCCAGGAATGTGACATTCCTGAGGCATCCCTTCCCCCAACGCCAAAGCTCAACCCTCGCCCTGCCCTGAACCCAGAGGTCCCACGCTGGTCTGCTCAGACTCCTCGCCATACCCTCAAGGCCCTGTGCCCAGGACAGGCAGACTCTCCTCCCACCGAGCCATGCGCCATGGCTGGGGCTCGAGGTCTCCAGCCGGCACTTCCCCTCCAGCGCGTGGGCTACTCACCTGCCTCCGGCTCAGCAGAGAAGCTGTTTGTGGCTGTAAGAAAGGGGAGGGGTTGGCAGAGAGCCAGGTGGAGGGGAGCCCCACAGCCCAGGGAGCCTCCTCTGAGGCCAGGGGGAGGAGAGGGATTCCCGTTTGCAGATGAGTGAAGAGCGGACCCGGAGCATGTGACCACACATGCACTGCGGGGCTGGCCTAAGCCTAACCCCTCTCTGCCCAGAGGGCCTTATGCCTTCAGGTGCCCCCTCTCCTGTCCTGCCCAGCACCCTCGTGCCCTGAGCTTGCCTCCTTGAGGCCCACGCAGCACCCCCCTTCCACACTGAACCAGCGGGCTCACCCAGCACGGCCAAGCAGAGCAGCAGAAGGGAACACATGCCTCTGGGTGTGGGGGCCTCTGCTCAGGCTCCTGAGAGCACCGTAGGTGTGGGCCACCTCCACCCTGGGCCCCTGGGATGTTCCTGGGTGGGTGCCTGCGACGAGGAGATAACCTGGAGGCCACAGCACCCAGGGCCTCAGCACCCAGGGCCCCGAGAGCCCCACAGGCAAACCTTCCCCACGCCCTCCAGAGGAGTGAAGGAGCCTGGGCCTGGGAGCCATGGCGGGCCTTAAATGGGGCTCCCACAGTTGCACTAGGGGGCCTGGGCTCCCCAGGAGGCAGATGCCCACATCTAAGCCCTGGACCCTGCCATTGTTCTGTGGCAAGAGGAAATTCAGGCTGCTAACTGCTGACCTCGAGATGGGGACATCATTCTGGATTATCCGGGTGGACCCCATATCACCACGGGGTCCTTCCAAAGCAGCTGGGAGAGCTGCAGGCGGAAGCTCTATCAGGGGAGCCTGTCCTCCACAGGCTCACAGCTGGCCACCTGCTAGAGGCCAGGGCTGCACCCAGCTCCCAGATTCAACCTCAGACTGGACTCAGGCAGCCCGAGAATCACACCAGGTGCGTGTGCGTGTGTGCCCAAAACCCCAGAGGAGAATGGAGAAGAGACTGCGGTGGGACGTTCCGTCTTTGTCTCTCTCTCCAGTGAGTGCACATGCTCTATGGCAAAAACCTAAAAAACCCAAACAAGGGACCAGAAGTGGCATGGTGGTTGGGGCACTGGACTCTCACATGCCCGACTGCAGTTCAAGTCCCAGATCTGGCCTCTCTCTCGTGAATAGACATGCCCAATAGCAAATTAAAAAATAATCACAGGGACTGGCAGGCGGCATGATGGTTAAGGGCACTGAACTCCCACATGGCTGACCGCAGTTCAAGTCCTGGGCCTGGCAGCTTGCTTTCTCACTTTCTCTCTCTCTCTAGCTTGTTTGCTCTGTCTCTCTCTAGTCAAATTAAAATAAGTAAATAAATAAATAAAGTTAAATAAAATAATTCTTTTTTTAAAAAAAAGACAATTTAAAAATAAGAATAAATAAAATTAAATAAACAGTTCTTTAAAAACCAGAACATGATTGCTGGGCCCCACCCTTACAGTTTTTGTTCCAGGAGTTCAGGGTGGGGCCTGAGAATTTGTATTTCACTCTATTTTTTTCCCCTTAAGTTTATTTATTTTCTTTTTTCTCCATAGGGCATGTGTGTTCGCCCACCAGAGACAGTGAGAGGGAAAGTGAGAAATCACCCCTCCCCAGGAGGGATGGCCACACTGCAATCCCTTCTCCCTTCTCCTCCTGGGATTTTGGGCACAGAGGCATGCGTGCCCAGCATGTTTTAAGCCACCAGGTCTGAGACTTGAACTGCAGTTGGCCATGTGGGAGTCCAGTGCCTTAACTACCATGCCACTGGCTGGTCCCACGTTTATTTAGTGAGAGAGACCCCAGTGGGGTCAGCCCCGAGCATGAGCACCTGCAAGCCTCAGACTTTCCCATGTGGGCCAGCCCTGCAGAGTGCCTGTTTTCCCTCTGTACTTCTTTTAAAATTTTTTTAAAAAAGAATTATTTAATTTAATTTAACTTTATTTATTATTATTATTATTTTCCAGTTTGACCAGAGGAAGACAGAGAAAGAGAGGGAAAGTGAGAAAGCAAGCCACTAGGTCTGGGACTTGCGCTGTGGTCGGCACCATGGGAGTCGAGTCTTTAGCCACCACGCCACCTGCTGGCCTCTACCTCTTGGCATATCTTTATTTTTTATTTTGGAGAGAGGTTTTTGCTTTAGGGTGCATATGGTCTCCAGAGAGACAGAAAGCAAGGAATCACCCTCTTCCCCAGGAGGGATGGCCATACCAGAATCCCTTCTCCTCCAGTCTCCTCTCGGGATTTTGGGCACACACACACATGTGCCCAGTGTGAGTTCGAAGCCACAGGGTCTGGAACTCAAACCATAGCAGCCCACGTGGGAGTCCAGCAACATAACCATTACGCCATCTGCTGGCTCCTTTTGCACTTCTAACCTGCTCCGCGGTAAGGTTGACACTGATGGCCTGAGGACCACGCTCTGGCCCTGAGATGCCAATGAACATATATGTCACTTTCACCTGGGCCAGTCTTGTCACCCTCCCCGGACCAAGCGGGCAGCCGTTTCCCTTGTATCCCCACCGGCAACTCCAGAAGAGGACCGTGCATTCAGCAGCACTTAGTCTGTATTATTATTTCAGTTTCTGCTATCGGGTGTGAGTGCTCACCAGAGACAGAGACAGAAAGCGAGAAAGCACCCCCCAGGGGGGTTAGCCATGCTGCAGTCCCCCGGTGGAACTAGAGGCTTTTCAGCCTGTCCTGGGATTTCTCTGCCTTCCCTCCTGACCACGCCGAGTCGAGCCATCTGGGTATCGCCTGGGAGCTGTAAAAGTCCCAATGCCTTGGCTGCTGGCTGCACCCAGACGGGTCACGTGGGAGTCGCTGGAAGGGCCGTCTCCTGTCAGCTACTCAAGCTTTGGCCGCTGAGAGCCAGGAGCGGTGCTGCAGCGTGGGGGGACGACAGGTCTACAGAAGGGCCTTGAACAGACTCAGGAATCCCACGTCCCAGCCCTGGTGGGGTCCTTGGTGCAGAGTCACCTCCTGCAGCCACATTGAGTCTCTCACAATGCAGGCCTGTATACACCTGGGGGGCACCTTCGCCCCAAAGTTCTCAAGGCTGACCCGAGCGGGGGCGCGGCACAGGGGGTCTGCAGGAGGCGTGGCCGTGGGCTCCGTTCGCTTTCCTGACCCCTGCACCTTGCACCTTCGTGGACTTCAGTAACGCCCCTGCGCTTGGACCGAGATATCCTGTAAGCCCCAACAGTGCTTTGTGGCCGTGCAGCCCGAGTGCCTTGGTTCAAATCCTTCCTCAGGCCCTACCTTTTGTGGGCCTCCGCTGACTCAGACATGCAAGTGTGACAGCGGAGGCTGCGTGGGGTGCAGGAGGTGGCCAGCTCTTCTCTCACAGCAAGAGGTCTCCGAACTGGAAGACAGTGCCCCATCAGTAGGCAATTTCCCACACCCCAAGACAGGTCTATTTATAAATTGTATGTGAGGTATTAAGCACATCATATCCAACCAAAGTCGAAATATGGGGTAAGAGAAAAACAGATTTCAGCAGGTGGTACCGTGGTCAAGGCTCTGGATTCCCACATGGTGAATCACAGTTCAGATCCTGGGCCCTGTGGTTTTAAACTCACACGGGTGTCTGTGCACCTGTGCCCCAAATCCTGAGAATGGAGGAGAAGGGATTGCAGCATGACCATCCCCACAGCGATTTCTCACTTTTCCCTCTCTCTGTCTCTCTCTGGTAAACATAGGCACCCTATGGCAAAAACATCAAAAAATATATAATATATGTAAAATATTAGAAATGGCCACGTGTTTGGGCCAGCTCCATGGCCCAGACCCGCCGATTCGGGAAAAACACCTGTGTGCATGTGTGTTCAAAATCCTGAAAGAAGGGGGAGGTGGAGTGGACAGTATTCAGGGTGCTTTTCTCCCCTCCCTCTCCTCTGTTGGCCTGCGTGTCCTCTAGCAAAGAAATGAAAAGAAATTGCCGGGTGCTGTTCCCGTTGCCCCTGGGCTCGCGGCCCTCTTCCGGGGCCCCACTGAAACGGGACCCCACGGGCCAGTTGCGTGAAGTATGAGAGACGCGTGGAGGCGGGTGTAGGCTGGGCCCTGGGAAAGCTTCAGGCGGAGCCAGGGCTCGGAGCTACTGCTCGGTGGAAAAGCGGAATCTGCAGGCATGGCCCGGGGAACGCAGCCCGCCAGGATCCCTGAGGGCGGGTCCCGGCCTGGGGCCCGGGGAGCCTGGGCACGGGAATCCGGGGCAAAAGGACTGCGGGCGCGAAGCTCGGCAGTGAGGGGCCTCTGGGCCCAGAGAGTCGTTCGGGCTAGGTTCCGGCAGCAGCC